CCCTCCTCTGCCAAATCCAGCCGGGCCTTGTCTATTGTACTCAACACTCCCAAGGCACGAGATGTTCCTGTCGTCCTTCCTCCTTCCTCCGCCTGCACCACCTCCATCGAGATCCCGTCACACACACCTTCCCAGCAGACTTCATCTCGTCTCATCTTACACACACACACACACACACACACACACATACACACCAAACCCAGCATCCCCACGTCGACAAACGGCGCACGACACGTAAGCGTCCAGACAAAAAAAAAACCATGAAAAAAAGAAGAAAAAAAAACACCCTCTTTTGAAAAGTAACACTATCAAAGACTGGACGAAGCGGGAAAGCTTGTTTACGCAGACAACCTGAACCTTGGAACGAATGAAAGTATTGGAGGGGGGTTCAGTTAGCTCTCCCCCGCCCACCTTGCCGACCTCCTGCAAGGTTAAACTAATGATATCAACCCCCCCTCCTTTCCATCCCAACACTGACAAGAACCAAGGAAGCAACGGGAGAGGAAGAAAAAAGAAGAGAAAGAAGGCAATCGTGTTCGTTTTCGCGCCGGCGAAGCACGGCCTCAACCACACACTCCCATCCGCCTCCTACCGACTTGACAGTTTGACGACGTGCCAATCAATCCCCGAGTCATAAGTTATCGCGGTAGGCCTACGATGCCGCCATATGATGACGCTCTGATAGAACCATGCTGAGGAGGGGGGGGAAGGGAGGGGGAGGGGTGGAGGCGGAGAGGCGCATAAGCCCATTTGGGAGTAGACAGAGCTTCGCTGCACACATTCCTTCCCCTTTCAACCACAGCACACCTGTTCATTGGACGACATTCATCACTTCCACCCCCCTTTGGTTGTGTGCAAGCCAGAGCCCAAGACGCCATGTTACCAGAAAACTGACATATGTTGCTGCCATTCATTCAAAGCGAGCGAGCGACATTGCTGATCCCCCACCTCGCCAAGCAAGGTCTTCCGCACACCCGTGTAACACTCCCCTTTCCCGTTTTCTGTAATCTGTACTTCTTTTACACTTTTTGCCTCATGTATGGTTTCGATGGTGCACACTCCCATATCCCGTGCCTGTGTGCTCGCTATGCTGCTATCCATCGCGTCTGTCGATTTCATGTGTCTGTTGAGTGCCAACATCGGTCCCGTGATCGAGAGGAAGAATGAAACAAGACGAGAAAGCCCCTCCGCGGCTGGTGCGAAGGGCCAAGAACCATCCGAAACCCCTCAAACGCCGTTTTGTTGTCTACCTGTAGCACGTCCTTCTATCCCGTCGTCTCCCAAGGTGATGCGGATAAGCCAAGGGTACCTATCAGGCGCGCATGGCGCCTGGAACGCTCCCACGCCACTCCAGGATGCCGTCTCTACATGGCCGACGCGGCGTGCGTGCCTAGGTCTGCGTGGGTGTCGGACGTCTCCTCGCCGCTGGAAGATTCCTCTCCGCCAATGTTACCGCCGATGCGACGCTTGGCATCTTTCTTCTCAGCGTCTGTCACGTCCTTTGCGTCTTTGCGCATGTCGGGGCCCCATTGCGGCTGATCGGGTGCGTGTCCAACAGACATGCCGGCGCGTATCTATTCGTGTTAGCGTGAAACATCGGCCTCGAGGTCCCAAAACTTACCAGCGTCTCGAGAGCTCCGTTCGAGTTGTCCACCAGGTCGTCGTCGAACTTCATCTTGCCCGGCTCGAACAACAACACGATGGTACTGCCGCCGAACTTGAAGTATCCAAGTTCATCGGCACGATTCACCTGGGTGCCTTCCTTGGCGGTGATGACCGTGCTGCCGACCATCATGGCGCCGACGCAGATGACCATGACACGACCGTGCACCGGGCTGTCAATGGGGCACAGAACCCTGACGTTCTCGCCATAAACATCGAGCGCCGAACGGATGGCCATGGGGTTGACTGTGTAGTACTCTCCTGCGATCGTCTTCGGCTTGTCCAAGACACCGTCGACAGGGATGTGGAAGCGGTGGTAGTCTTGCGGCGCCAAACGGAAGATGCCAAGAGCTCCGTTCTCGAAACGCTTCACGTCGTCGGGGTAGGCGTCCCCAAGCAGCCGCTTGATGGAGAACTCGCGGCCCTTGACCCAGACCTTGGTCGCCTGGGTGACGCTGTTGAACACTACACTGCGGCAGTCGGCCGGGGAGACGACAACATCGGGACGGTCGGGGGCGGAGCATGGTCGTGCCCCGGGCTTCAGAGCTCGGTAGAAGAACTCGTTGAAGCTCTTGAACTCCTCCACTGGCAGGAGCACCTCGGACATGTCAAGCCGGTGGAACTCGATGAACTTTGGAATCTCGGCCTTCGAGGCCGGGTCATCAAACTTCTTACCCTGCTTGACGCTCATGCTCTTGAGCATCTTGCGGACTACGAGCGCGGCGTTAGTCAATGTGGCAGCTACGGGACGACGGTGAAGCACCTACTCCTCTTGGTCTCCATGTTGCTCGACTTCAGCCCCTTGTACAGGAGACGGATGCCGAGTCGCACGTAGACGCTCATCTTCTCCTCGTTGATCTGCCCAGTTATGCGGTCCTGGACGAGGATGTTGGCCGAGTTGGCGCCAAGCTTGTATCCACCGTAAGAGATCTTGGTGATGACCTTGGAGTACCACTTACGCTGCGCTTGGCTGGCAGTGACGAAACCGCCCATGACGAGGTTGTTGACCTGCCGCCAGTCTTGGCTCGCGCACGTAGCAATGTGAGTGATGATGTCGGTGTCCTTGCGCTTGTTGAGGCGAGGTTGGTGGCAGATTGGGCATTCTCTGATCTCGACGACGTGCTCCTCGCCAGAACGGTCTTCTGCCAAATCATCCCGGTCGAGCAGATCGCCCTCTTCCCCAGGCGTGCTGAGCTCTGGTACGTTGATGGTGCTGTCGGAGCTTGACGCCTCCGTTGACAGACCGTTTGACCCGGAGTTGTTGTTGTCGTGGCCAGAAAGCAGGTTCTTGACTCTCTCGGCGTCTGGCAACATACCCTTCACCCTATCTCCAACGGTGAGCTGTGGCCGGCTCTTGGCTTCCAGCTGGTCTTCGAGGCAAATCACAGCCTCGTCGAACGTGAGATCGGACATGTCCTCGCCCTGTGCGCGATGAGGGAACCGCTGGAAGAAGCTGTCAATGGTCGACTCGTGCAGTGTTGATCCCAAGGTGTCCAGCATCGTGGTCAGCTCGATCTTGCTGATGCGGCCGCTCTCATCGGTGTCATACTGCTTGAGCATAGACCTCCAGAACTGCTGGCGAAGAGCGGGGTACGGCACGTATTTGGCGCGGATGTAAAGCACAGGATTATGCTTATCCTCCCACTTCTTGGCATCCTTCATCTTCAGGGCAATGCTGAATTCGTTGAAATCCGCATCCTCGGCCTCCAACTCGGCAGTCTGAGCCCCCGCTCCAGCCAAAGCTTGCTCGGGAGACAAGAACTCCGGGTTGAGAGTCGAACCCTGAACGGCAGGCGTTGGGGTCAACGTCCCGCTCGGCGCTGCCGTCGTCGTCGAAGCGCTGCTAGCATTCTTGGACAAGACGGGCCGGGCCTTGCTCAGACTCTGGGAAGAAGATGTGCGAGACATGGCGAGCTTCTTGAAGCGGCGCTGTTGCGGAGGCACGTATTCGTGAGGCTCGGGTACGTCGTACAGACCAGTTTCGGGATCCGCCTTGGGGGCCTTGTCGATGAGCTCCCTGATGGGTAGGGTGCAGTCGGCGATGAAGTCGTTTCCGGAGTACTTGTCATGATCCATTACGGTAAAGGAGAACGAGTACGTTTGCTCGTGGCCCTGTACCTGGAAGATCATCTTCTCGTTGAAGACGGGGTTCAGGTTGTGCCGCACTCGTTTCGTTCGGTACGTTTTCTTGCCGAGGGATGCGACTACGAAAGGGTCCATGTCGAACGTCAAACGGGTCGAGTTGGGCTCGGGAGGCAGGTCTGTGATGTTCAGAACCTCGAGATAGATGATTCCCACGACATCGCCTCCGCTGTTATTGAATGCGTACGCCTGGTCCCTCTTCTTCTTCTTCAACCCCTTGATCCTCAGACGACGCCTGCGCTTTTCGGCGACTTCGGGTTTGCTGGGATCCTCGTCCTCGGGGGTATCATCTTCGATATCAAGGTCGTCGTCCTCCTCCTCTTCCTGGTCGGCATCGGTTTGGTTGCGAGATGACGGCGGCGAGGAGTCGGTTCCGCTGTGAACGCTCATGTTCCGAACAGGCTGGATGAGGGGAGTCATGGTGGGCGTGATCTGTCTAGACCCGGCAGGAAGCTGGCTAACGAGGGCGTAGAATTTTTCAAAGATCTGCTCGCGGGTGGCGGCGGTGTTGGACTGGTCGAAAAGGGTGAATTGTAGCATGACCTCGCCAGACACGACACTCGTCTTCTTGCCAGGTCTCTTGCTCCTGAGGGGGTACCACTTGGGAGGTTGCTCATTCTGCTCGTCGGCAAAGATCTCCTCGAGGGCGAGGTCGAACTCGCCGAGATAGTCCTTGCCGAAGCGGTCCTTGTCCCAGCATATCACATCGAGGAGGAGACACTGAGTCGAGTTTACGGGGAGTTCTTCGATGACGTTCCAGTCGGGGTTGAGGGTCTTTGGCACCTCGTGGGTGGTAACTTTGGCGTCGCCGAGGGTCACAACAAGGTACTGCAAACGCTCACGTTAGACAATCGTTCCCGAGCGGACGCGAGGGACATGTTGGATTCTCGTACCGGGTCGGATGTGCCGCTTCTATCTTTGGCTGCAAGGTTTCGAGCCTGAAGCGCACCAGGGCGTCGGTTAGTAACTGCAGGCCGGCAAAGTGATCCGCAGACTGGCGCGCATGGAAACGGCCGTTGCAGAAGCGGCAGGAACGGATTGAGCATACCTTCAAAATGACGACCTTCAAGGTCAAGCCATTTTCCTTTGGGCTGAGATCTCCCATCTTGCTGGTCGTGCTGCTGCCGTTGCTACTGTTTCTTGTCGGACTGCTGCTGCGGCTGTTGCGAAGGGAAGAGCTCGACTTGAGTCGCCCAGGGATGATGCGGACCATAGTGGGCGTTGGGTCGGGGAACGGCCCCTAAAAAGAGTTGCGGCAGGCCAAGGAGAGGACAGGCAAGCTGGCGGGCGACCCAACCAGGATGGATGGGGGGGCGGCGGCGGCGGCGGCGGCTGCGGAGTGACGTATCTATTCAGATGCGGAGCGCTTGGGGGCTGAATGCGCTCTTGGTCGCTTTAGGTAACTTGCGGTACCTTGGGTATCGGATTTCAGCGGATATCCAATTGTCATGACCCGCCTGATGATATGTGCGGCTCGGTCTCGGGGTGGGTTACGCAGCGAGGCCACCTTTTTCTCTTGCGCCTTGGCTCGTTGGACAAATGGTTGCGTTGCAGCAGTCCGCTGGAGCTGTCCTGCCTCTTGATGGCGGCGGTGCCCCTGAGCGTGATGGTGGTGGAGTGCAGTAAGCAAACAGGCGCGCGCTCCAGGCTGCAAGTCGCGACAGGGTCCCGGCAGGTTGCAGCACTCTATGGTTGCCGACTTTGCTGTCAATCCAGTCAACTGTGACGCTTCTGTCCCGTCTGCCACGATTCGACCTTTGTTGCGATTGATGCGTAGAGAAGAAAAGGGGACCCGATGGCGGCGTGTTAACTGAGAGAATGAACTGGACAGAAACTACTCGTGACAATGGCTGTCGGAAGTGACCCCAAGATGGCGTGTCAAGCAGGGACGGCGGGCCGCTCTAGTTTCGTCGACTCGTCGTGGGAGGAATACCGATTCGGGGTGAGGCTGGGCTTTGGTCGACTCTGGAATGTCAGCGACCCTAAGAAGTTACGATGCCAATGCTGGACGGTGCTTTAAAGCTGTTACTAAGGGAAAAAGTCGAGGTGGAACTGGGAAAGGGGGGGAGAGAGTTGAAATGGAAGCTGGCAAAGAGGAATAAAGAGGGAGAGGGAGAGAGGGAGAGAGAGATGAGGTAAGGAGCTCGGAGCCCCTTGGAACTAATGGTCTGGATAATAATCAAAAGAAGCCCAGGGTCGATAATGGGAAGTGAAGCAAAGAAATGTACGGGTTAATTATGTGGCTTATGGTGCACACCAGCATGGCGCTACCGCCGTATGCAACTGGCACGAAGGAGCAAGCTAGGGATAATCAGGCCGAGCAGGTAAGAAGCCAGAGTCAGGAACGATGGCTAAGACCTCTCTCGATGAGAGATCGAAGGCAAAGAGAAGAGAGGCGCGCCACAGAACAGACAGCGAAAAAGGCGGCAGGTACGTCGTGTTGTTGCTGTTGGTGGTGGTGGTGGTGGTGGTGTTGCAGACCGCCTCAGAGCGCCCCGCCTTAATGCAGAAGGTAGAGACAAGCAGCAAGCAGGTGGGAAGACCAGTCAGGTGACAAAACATCAAGGCAGGGAAAGGACACAGTACCTGGAATTACAAGACGAGAGACGCGGTATTCGGTGTATTGTTTCTGATGCTCTCCGAGTTGAAGCACAACCGTTCGGGGAGGATGTTCGGGTCCAAAAGGTACCTTGCGGCTTGGTGTGGATTTGGCGGTGCGGCAAAGTATCCTCTCGTCTCGTCTCGTCCACCGTCTCGTATCGTCGTACGTAGTGTTACTACGTACGTGTGGTATGTTCCAGCGTATTCGTCCCAGAAAGGGATCCAAGGCTTGGGGCGGGTACTTCGGCTCGGCGTCTCTCCCACCCCCTAGCAAATAGGTAGATGAAATGGTGGGCACTGTTTTGGGGTGGTGCGGTGGGTTCGCCTGAGATGTTTGGACTGGTTTGGGGCGAAGAGGGCGGGAACCGGACAGGGAACAGAGCTGGAACTGAAGCTACCGAGTGTGGAAGCTGGAGCCAGCCAAGCTGGAAATGTCGAGAAAGAGACGGCAGCGTAGTGGGTAGAGAGAGGTGCACCCAGCGGCTGTCTTCTGACTCTCAATCTTTGCAAAGCAAGTCAGTCTTCAGTCATCAGTTCTGCAAAGTCAAAGTGCAACGGAGAGAGTTCGGGAAAGAGACCAGACGACATCCAAGAAGGAGGGTGCGGTCAGCTTACACCTTTATCTGACTTTTTTCTTTTATTTTATTTTTTTCGGCGTCCTCTTCTCTTCTTCTCTTCTTCTTCTTGTTCTTCTTGTTCTTGTTCTCTGTCCTCACCGTCACATTGTTACTACTATGACTCTACGTACTCGAGCCGCTTACACCTTACTTAGTACATCATTGTTGACGAGGGTTAGCATCCTTCCCTGGCTGCGGACAGATTGCGCTGCGCCAAGGACCTTGTTGACCGTCAATTAAGATATGTAGCCAAAGGTCGCATACCGTCAAGCAGCAGCAGCAGCAGCAGCAGTTTGGCATTAGCACGCTGGTGAGCATGTGTGAGGGATCCTGGAGTGTCTGGGATGTGTACTATAGTGTACACTACTCCGTACATACATAGTAGACGTAAATATCATCCGGGTAGGGATTCCAAAGGGTCCCAGATCCATGTACCACTCCATCTCCATGAAGCGGGCAGGGACTCGATTCGGCACAGCCCTGGAAATATGGAACACATGCCTTTCTGTTCCGACACTTCCCCACGGATCAAAAGTGCACATCCGCTGTGTGCTCGTCCGTCTTGATGGCAGGTGCCTCCCGCAAAACATGCCCATCTATCCGTACATAGCAACTACTTAGGTAGGTACCTACCTAGTACCTGTGTGCTGCCATGTCGTGCCCGTGCAGTGCAGCGTAGCACAGCACCGCTGCCCCCCCACGTCTCAGGAAGGCACGAAAGCCACGAAAGCCACCTTCGTGGCCCAACGCAAAACCACGTTGGAAAGGAAGGCGCAAGTGGTTTTGCTTTTTGTTTCTGTTGTGCTGCGTGTTTCTTAGCTGCATTGTGTCGTCTCCCACCGCCTCTTGTGCTCTATACAGAGTGTACCACGTGAGGATGATGGGAAGGTATTGTATCCGTACCTACGTACCTATTTGCTCTACGGATACGGGGTAAGCAAACAGTCTTCTCCCCCATCCGTCACTCCTCCGTTGCGCAAACACTCTTCACGCTTTCACACAAATCACTCGTACATTGGTGCCTCGGGCTTGTACAGGACCCCGTCGCAGCACAAGTTGCTTGCTCCATCCAATTGGCCCCGTCGCAAACCTACGCCATTGCCTTACTTGGCTCTGATCCACTCTGCGGTGCCCCTCTCTCTCTCTCTCTCTCTCTCTCTCTCTCTCTCTCTCTCCTACCTACTACAGGTCTCGTGCCCGTTTTCTCCGCTGCTGCTTCCATGCTACCTCGTACCGCTTCTGGCTCGCCTGGCTATCGACTCGGTCTTGTGTTATCGCGCACCACGATATAGACCTCCTTAGCCAAGTTGAGCGGCCCGCATTACCCAACCCTCACGATGAGAGAGCTGCCCGGGCAGTGATAAATCTGGGTAAATGGACTTGCCCAAGTCAGCATTCCTTCATCATCATGCTTGAAATCCCGCGTCAAGACTGCATGAATCCCTGCCGGGCGCTGCGATGAACATGTCTTTAGCCGGTACCGAGACTTAGACATGCCCATGCCATTGACCAATCCTTTTTTACGTTCACCTGAGCGGATAATCGATGCTGCTCCTTCCCCCGATTCTCCCTTGTCTTGCCTCCGCCCAGTCTCGCCAAATGATTGTGATTTTGGAAGCGCTAAATCTAAGTCCTGGCGTCCGACTGGCACGAGTGTCGTCTCCTTTAATCCGACTCCTTCCCTTGGACCGGTCGCGCGCCAGGTCTGGTCTCTATGCTTCGCACTGGACCAGGCCTTTCCCCATCAAAATCCATCAAAATCCATCCTCGGACGAAAAAGGAAAAAGAAAAACCCTCTCTGGGAGGCCCGGCAGCTCCGCCCCCTTCTATACGGATACCCAATATCGTCTCTCGTTACTGCGTACCTAGTCCGTCGATACCTTCAACTCCACCAATCCAGTCGATCGACGTTCCCCTCGTCGGGTGCAACTGCACCTGCAGCGCCGCACAACATAATACCTACCTAGTGTGGTCCATAATGCCACAGACGATTTTCTCCGTCTTGCTTGCCGTGCTTCCGCCACCTTCTGGCCCTGCCCGTCCACTACAAGGCGGACAAGGGTGCCGAACTGCAGTATAAACTACGTACATACGTGGGCGAACATCGGCACCCAGGGGGGTCGTAGGCTGCCAGCTGACAGCTGGTGGTTCCCTTCTTTACCCATACTCCGTAGTCCTCCGGGTGTAACGCGTCTGAGGCTCTCTCCGCCAAGGTCTCGTCCTGCTCGAGTAGGTGCTTCTAAGCCTGCGTCCAAGAGTCTTGGTCGATCTCTGCCCCGGCAAATGCAGCAAGGGCCGAGGGAAGCGACCGGTGCCATCTGAACCTCACCTCGACCCCTAAGGCTCAAGACTCGTCGGGGACCAATAGGCTACCAACCACCAACCTCCCTCATCTCGGCACAGGCCTCGTCATCAAAACACAATCCATCCCTGCCCGGCTCTGGTCTACCGCCTGCCAGATCGTCGTCATTCGAGCCCCTTCGCAAATAAGCCTTCTCGGCTACCTCTACGTGGCCTTGTCGCGCTCTAATGAGCATGGTTCGCCCGAGGAAACACAATCAAGGATCAGCACCCAATAAGGGAGAGCAGGGCCTCGCAATTGCGGTGGTGGTGATAATTAGCGAAAGAGGATTGCCGTCTGCTGGAATTCAGGAACGTCGGCCACTCGCGGCAAGCTGAGGTAATCAAACGGCGTTCCGGCGGTACAGTATCAGTACATGGGGGGTGTACCTTTCCTGGCTGGCTCGTCTGTCCCGAGCCCGTGCTGTGTACGGATAGGATAGTATGTGTACATGAAGGCTAAGTACGGATACCTATAGTAGGTAGGTAGAGTGAGTGTGGTGAAGGCATAGGTAGTGGCCGGTACGTATATACAGTTCCTTGGGAAGGAGCTAAAAATTGCAGCACGCTAGAACATGTTGCGCAAACGAGGCGGGGCACGGGCCGCTATCCACGCCCCAAGCTTTGCATCTAGTTTATTTTACTATTGCTACCTATCAGGTAGGTATGAGCAGGAATGCCGATAACTCCATTCTGCCTCGGACAAGCCCGCTTGCTCAGGGTTAGTTACCGTCGTGCCATCGTCGGCCAACCAATCTCGGCCGAATTCGTCCCTTCGAGCATGTACCTACCTCCCTGCCCCAAAAACGGCACGATGAGGCGGCGCAGGTTGACGCTGTTGCGGTTGTCGACCAACGGCTGCCAAACGGAACAGGCCAGCTGATTGATCGCCCCATCCGCATCGCGAAAGATTCGCAGCGCCACCTACCCCAGCCGCCGCCAAGTCGTCAGGATGACTTGCAGCCGCGAATCCAACGCGCTCGCTCCTTGGCCAACAGGCAGGACAACGGGAACCCGCTGGGTAATTACGTACCCACGCCGCGCTCCTCAGTTACAGACCGAGGCAACCAAGCCAAGCATTCCTCGAGGCCTCCAGTAACGTCAAGAATACCTACGGCTTCGAGTCCCATTCCGCACCTCCCCCCCCCCCCCCCCCCCCCTTTTTTTTTTTTTTTTTTTTTTTAAAGGCGAAAAAAATGCCCTCCCCAAACCCCCCTTTTTTCCAAAACCCCGG